TGGTCGTAATTGGCCCCCCCCGGATCCGCCACTGATCAATAAATTCTGGCACGAATACACGAACTACAGCTAAACCAAACGCCGAGAAGCTGCATCTAAATCACTTATAATCTTAATCATGGCTACATGAACTTGGCCTATATTCGCAAGTCGTACAAAGAACAAGCGATCACACATCATTTTGAAGACGTTGACAATGCAACTTGAACTCTCTCACCTTACGCATCGTGTAGTCATACACGGATTTTGTCTGAGAAGAATACCAACTCTTGCAGCATGTCGACAGGACACAGCTAATGCCCCACTAATGACCATGACTTGTCATGCAGCTGAGGAAAACTCCGACCCCAGCAGCCACGAATGATACAGTTGATGACGTATTTCCGGAATCCCACAAGTCGGGCAACCTCGTATTGTAATGGTGGCCGGCCGAAAGGCCCACGTTTCGCAAACGGTTATTAATAACCACGTTTAGATCCGCGAATTTTTCAAAAATAGTTATTTTTAGAACAATTACATAGAGCATAATGTTAAACTAAAATTGCATTTTTCAACACTTTTTAAAACCCAGATTTTTAAGTAGTTCAGGAAAACAGAAAGTACCTCATCATTAACAGTATATGATTTTTTCAGCCAATGTCACCAGCCTTCAATTTGAGATATGGCATAATATCTCTGCCATAGGAACCTATAGTAAAAGCACTATAATACTGCCAAAATGGCCACTATCCACTAAAATATAAAATATTATTTTCTTGAAAATTAAGCTGGTGTCCCCCAACCTTTTTATTAAGTCAATGTTCTTATATTTTCCGGAATTAGAAAATTGATAAATTCCAGGTATTCATATTCCTGAGTAGGCTTCTACCTTAAGAATTTGAAAATGTATAGTTGATGATGATATGGAACAATCAGTAGTATGAATAGTAGGGGCAGACCTAAAAAAGTTATTCAACTACTGGATCATCGATGGATTAGTTCTCTGACAATTAGTTTTCACAACAATGCATTTCAAGTGCATGGTGATTGGTCTAGTGGTTTTCAACATTAATTTAGAAAAAATTCACCCCTTTATGAAATGCATAGTAGGTTATTCATAAACATTTTCGTACCATCTTCAGTATGTTCTTAAGATTTAATAGGACTTATGTACTAGTTTGTAAATATACTAGAAATTTATCAGTTATAGATACAATATTTTGTTTATAAAACAATGTTCTAATCTCTGGCTAAGCCAACAACACTTTTAGTAACAGGTCCTGCAAAAATCATGCTACTTATTTAGGAAAAGGCTGATAAATTGCTTATTGCACGGCCACCAAGAAAGACAGTTGTAAAATGCTTATTCAGTAACCATGCTTATCATTTTTTTTTATTTGGTTTAAAAACAGGCTAAAACCAGGTGCAGTGATGTACAGAATTTAGTTTATTGATTATTCTTGAGAGCTAACATCCAGTCATTTTCACTGCCTGGCAACCACAGTCAGAGAAAATTAAGGTCAAAACTCTGAAAAAAAACAAAACTGCTTTGGCCTAGTTAGATTACCTCTACATGGATTGTCTCATAGTTGAGATTTGTGCTGTATTCTCGACTGGTGTTCCACAGCAGCTTATGCAGAGTCCATAGAAATACATGGTGTATTTGTGTGTGACTTAGCATCATAGAATGTTCTGTAATGTACAAGACTTTAATCATTAGCTGATTACTGCCATTCATGTGAAATAAATTCTATTCAGACGGTATGCATCTGTTGAAAGATTCTGATTAGTCCAGCTGCTTTCAACGTTTTTAAAAAATACAATGTGACAGATTGCTGTTTTCAAAACTGGTTTAATTCATTTTTTGTCACTGATACACACATCATCATTGTGATAAATAATAGCAAACCAAGTTAGGTTAGGTTATTCAGTGTTATCTACAACAATCAACGGCACTGCCAAATTGCAAGAATTGAACTTGTTGATCTTATAAGAATAAACAAAAACATGTACTAATACAGTATTATGGCTGTCTACTATATATATGCATAATGGTACTCTGCAGTATTCTGGTCATAACATTATCAGACTGGGTAAAATATTGATTGTTTGTTATAAGAAACCTAAAACTGTGCAAGAACAAAATTAAAATCCTTGTTCTGATTTCACACTAAGATTTGGTTTAAATCAGAAACCAGGTTGAGAGAAATGTGAAGCAAAAATAAATCAATGTGATTTCGTTCAGTGCAACAAAGACATTCATTCCATATTTATTAATATTTATAAATCAAAACTGAAACAAGAAGGGTCTACGTTGTTCCATTGCTTGTGCCCATTGGCTGTTGGATTCAATTGCCACTGAAATTCATAAATATTTTTCAAGATGAAGCTGATGCGCTGAGCATACATGACCATTTATAACCCGGAAATTGAACTAATTGTTGAAGTTGCAATATTGTAAAACCTCAAGTTTATATTTAAGACTTCAGTACAGAACCAAAAAAAGCATGTCACATCATCCAAGACACATGGTTAAAAGAAAATCACATACAAATTGTAATAATCAGTCAAAGTTAAAGGACCACACTAACTGCGATGTGACAACAGCTTGTTTTTCTGTTGGTGTTTACTACCGGTACTCTCAATACGTGTACAGTAGCCAGTATGTAACACTGAATACATCCCTGTAAATTGTAGTCTCATCTATCTATGTCTACTTAAGCATACTTGATATACAATGCATCTTATACTATTATTCAGTACAAATTCAATTGAAATAAATAATCAGTCAGGAGATAATTACATTGGAATCAATTCTGGCTATCACTATATTAACAATACATACCATATTTTCTGTATTACCGGTAGTAACACATACATTAACATAAATAACAAGGGTATGTGTATTGATCCAGCATACAATAAATCCAATTTTTGGTTTATGAGCACTTCTATTCGCTTCTAATAGAGCTAATACAGTATATGTAATTCTGTACTCGTATAGAAGTGGCATATTTGACCATGCTTAAAAAAAATAGGAAAATGTTTGACACATTTAACTTTTTCATAACCAGATTTTCTCACCCAAATTTTTCTGCATTTTTTTATTATAATTCTTCAATATTTCTGGAAATGAACCCTTATTTTGGAGCCAACAAAATTAAAGTCAATTTGCTTATTTTTGACCCAAACTTCTGAAAGAAAGTGCTGAAAATAAACAGGACTTTTGTGTGAATTGGTGATGAATAGAGGGAACTGGTAGTGAAAAAGGTACGCTACATGGATTTCAAATTATTTTATAATTGTATTTTTTAGTTGTTGGTACTTTGATCTAATATATCACAGCATAATTGAAGCAAATATAGAAAACCTGTTAGCAAATTTCAACCATTGTACAAATTTACATTTCACAAGTAAATAATGAATATTCCTCCTCATCTAGAGAAAGAAACAGCACAAATAATTTGAGGAGCTGACACTGCACAATTAGTTAGCCATTAGTTCATTTGAAAAACAATATCATCAGACACATTTACAGAATGTCCTCACTATAGTGTTTCTACTGCTCATCAAATATTTTTTTTATATAAATCTTTAGTAGTATAAAACACACATCTTATACTGTCAAAAAACCATGCAGCATTGCCATGGTGATGGCTCTTCCAAAGATCAATAAGATTCTGTTTATCGTTCTCAGAGATTCCATTCATTGGCATTCTCAACTGTTTTAATAATGGTTTGTCATTTTTCTTCTTACTGAAAGCCTCCAATAAGAGTGTACCTAATGGCGATGAAAGGCCACAGCCAGACAGGTCCAATTCTTCAAGAGAACCGAATGAGTCCTGGATATTTTCCAATAGATTCTGTACGCCATAATTGCTGACTTTACTGTTACCTGACAAGTGTAGTGACACCAGGCTTTCATTTGTGGAAAAAGAACTGTGAAAACACAATAAACTTAATTCAGTTTGTATTGAAATACAATGGTGCCAGTTTACATGAGATAATGTGATACAGAGTGAGACATATGGTTTGTATTTACTATAGGCTGAATATTCTGAATTGTAACTTACGTTGTGACTTCCATCAAGTCTTCATTAGTTAAAAAGCATCCACTGAGATTGAGATTTTGTAAAATACAATCTGTCTGTTGTTGGAAACAAGAAAAAAATTGTCAATAAAACTTAATTACCGGTATTAGGGTAGAATGTGTTACACCTGAATCACTGCAATCAGTACTCAGTGCTGTGTTGCAGTGCCATCAAATGAGACATTAATTTTCTCCCATTGTACAGGAACAATTCAGATATTACGAGAAATGTTGTAAAACTTGTAGTAAGTAACTG